CTTCCAGTTCTGCAAGAAGATGTGCAAGATGAAGGTAGATAACGCCGAGTACGCCCTGTTGACCGCCATCGACATCTTCTCCGGTGAGTCCTTCTGCCGTCCGTGACGGGCTGTTGGGGTTCACAGGGGCACTGGACTAGAGCAGAGTATATAGAACAACGGCTAGAGTCTGGGCCGGGGACTCTACCAAGGCCTCGTCTAACATGTTAACTGGGGGGGCTAAACCCCCGCAGTCATCGACCTGGCCCCTCCAGTCAGGGCAAAAAGTCACTACTGGGGGGCCGGCAATAGCCAAAAGGCAAACTAATTTTTATTTCGAGGCGTCAGTGCACATAAAAACAAATGCGTAAACGAAACGATGCAATGTGAGCACATTGAAATACCTCATTACCTAGGGCTGTTATGTGTTTATTTTGTTTACAACCTTTTTTTCGCTCAGCAATGCGTTACATTTCGTCTTTTCAGGCGCCCAACTCCGTGTCCCGGATATTCTTTTTTCATAAATTTAGTCCGAACCTTTTGAATGGAAGGATTCACAAGTACAGAGCCCCCGCTAAGCAGAGCTTTGCGTTGGCCCTGCCCTCTACCCTCCGATCGCGCAATTCGTGATCTATGGCAGAATTTAGAGCCCAAAGTTTAACGTATGCACATAGCCGCACACGGCCGGTCCCCTCACTGACTTCGAATGGCTACGGCCTGCCACCAACCGTAGGTAACCATGTACTCGCCAGGAGGGTCATAAAGATCGAGCGATGTCGCGCTTCGAACCCGGACTGTTATAACCGAGACGCGTGCCCTCACCACGCGGAGTCCAAGGCTCTACCGGCAACAATTTCTCCTTTAGGTATCAATCTGTTGTTTCTGTCTTCGCCCCTCGGGGCGTCAATCTCTTGTTTTTGCCTATCGTCGTCCTCGCTAGCGGCGTCCAACTTCTGGCTGGACGGTCACCGGTGTGCGGCTAGAGTAGCTCCTAATCGTAATGAAGCAGGCTCCCGTTCTGGGTGGTCGTACGCAGGCGCAGATGCCAGATTGGTGCCTCTGTCTGTGGGGACGGGAACTCTGACAGCTGGATTATCTAAAGAAGTCGGCATGGAGTCCTGGGGGGCAAATGCCAGCCACTTAGGGTCCCAACGGGCCTCAAAGCACTACTACACGGGGTAATCTTCATTTTTGTTTAGTTTATAGCCTCTGACGACCTTAAGGTTGTGTTGAAGATCCACGGCGATTACGGAGAATCCACCTGAGAAGCCATCAGTCTCCAAGTTGATACACAGGCATCTGGTCTGAGGGGGCCCTAGTGGGAAAATACGGTCTCCACTCAGATTGACCATTAAAGCCTGGTATAGATCATATATAACCAGTGTGGGCTACCATAGAGGCCGAAATATAGGTCCAGACGTTGGCATTAGCCCTCAGAGATCGGCATCGAGCGCTCACAGGGGCCCATCAGAAACCGATGTGGTTCGCAAAAAAAATACATATGCGTGTGGGCCCTCGACATAAGGCTCGGCATGCAAATTCCTTAGACAAGGCACTGCCACTCAATCACACGCTCAACAACGAGAAGTGTGATTATTATTGCCTGATGGGGCAATGTGAGGGGGCTATAAACTAATAGGTATACAAGCATGGGTCGGATGGCCTATTTTTTTTTTTAGTTTTCAAAAAAAAAAATCATGGTATCAGGGCTGTGATGAAAAATAAGTGGTCTAAATCCGGTGAGAAAACAGGATTTGGGGGTACCCTAGGTTTGGCTCCTTCAGTCTCTGGCCCCCCCCAGTGAAAATTCCTTAGACGAGGCCCTGGACTCTACCTATGCCGGGACGCTGACCTCAAGGAAAGGGATCTTCCGAGTGGATTTTCCTTGCTCTGTTAGCGGTGTCTGTTGATGTAGCTACTAAGAGCTTGAAGCGCTTCGTTTATGCACATTTAAGGTCTGCGGATGAAGAGATGTTACGGTACATATGATCATGTCAGTGTGTTAACCGGAGCTGTGTGGTGGTCGTGGGTCCAACTCCGAGTTCATTGTCCTATGTCCATTTTGGTCGGAACGATGTCGTGTTTACGGTGGTGTATAACAAAGGCGGATTTTCTGTGGTTAGTTTGTTCCAATGTGGACGTATGCTTACGTGTCGCTCTGGCCGAAAATGGGACCCAGTTAGCTGAATCGCCCAATGGCGGTCCGACGCCCGCCCGTGGCTCGCTGTGATCAGTCGCGGCCCTCCAAAAAAATGTACAAATCGGCCCCGTTAGGTGATACTATCATCTATGGCTCTGGGGCCACGCCGACTGAGGGGCCGAGCAGTTTCCCATTCCGTGAAGTGCTATTTATTTTTCCGGTGGCGTGCAGTCTGGCGGTGATGCTATCGGCGGCTCTGCCCCTCTGAAGCCGTTACGGGGGCCAATCGCGGCACTAGCGGTGTTTCAGGGGGCCAATCAGGGCCGGTAGCGAGGCGGCCCTCAGCCAATGGCGGCCGAGCAGCGGACGGCCGCACGCCGTGCCGTGAGCAGTACAGAGATGGTGCCGATGTTCGTGTTCGGTTCACGGTGTACTTTCTGCTCACGGCATCGGTCATTGCCGCTAACGGTCACCCCGGACCCTGGGGGGTTGGGAGGGGGCAGGGGATAGGGCTGAAGGTCAACGACTGACTCAGGGTGGCGTAGGTAGCGGGCCTCGGCGACGCCCGGTCCTTGTCCTTCCCCGAGGCGTGGATCCCCTGCCTCCGACCCGCCGTCCGTGTGCCTGCCTACTTATCATTTGTCCAGGTCCTGACACATACTGATGAGGAGCCACCATCCCTGCCTCGGCTTAGACGGCGGTTCCCAGAGTGTGTCCCTTCCGTAGATCTCCGTGGGTGTACTGGACTGACGGCGCTCCCTCTCTTCCCCGCAGACCGGTTCGGCCTGGAGGAGCCGGACAAGGTGGAGCGAATCCAGTCCATCTACGTGGAGGCGCTGAGGGCGTACGTGGACTTCCAGCGTCCGCCGCCCACCGGCGTCATCTTCGCCAAGCTGCTCAGCGTGCTGACCGAGGTTCGCCAGTTGGGCAAGCTCAACACCGAGCTCTGCTGGTCGCTGAAGCTGAAGAAGCGCGTGCTGCCGCCGTTCTTGCACGAGATCTGGGACGTGCCGGCCTAGCGCGCCGCGCGCCAGTCGCTCTCCCCTCGCCGTGTGTGTGTCTGTGTGTGAGCGCGATGGGCCGCCGGCCGTGGTGACGTCACCGGACTAAATACTGAAAGTGAGACGTCACAGGACCTCTGAGGCGGCCGCGCCCGCGGGCTAATGGGCCCAGTGCTGAGGACACTAAGTGTGTATGTACCGCTTCACCGAGGCCCGAGCTGTATTTTATTCCCATGACGGCCTCGCTTTTGTAGCTCATGACCATTGTTATTCGTGAAACTTACATCTCATTTGTGTACAAACTTGTATGGTTTGCATCGCATACTTGTATTGACGAAATGTGTTGCGAGCGCTCCGCTTTTATTTATTCTGATGTTGTCTCCAGCTGTCCATCTTCCGCTCTTCCATCCGGTTGTGTGCAAACACTTTTGCAGTGCTATTTTACGTTGGCAAAGAGGTGTTTGTGCAATATTGAAACCAAACCGGCGGTTTTGACTCCATACCGGCGCGCGCGGTTGCTGTTGTCGAGTTGGCTACTGTGAGGCGGCGGTCCGGGCGGGGCTGATCGCCCTGTCCGGCCGCCCGCTGCTCCATAACTGGGCTGGCCGGCGCCCGCCGCCGCCGTCCCTACGCGGAAACACTAGGTTGTGACCTGCTCTAGAGTGTGTGTGCGAGTGAGACAGCGCGTGTTAGTGAGTATGTGTGAGTTTGTGAGTCCGAGCCAGCCAGAAGCGGCGCGCCGCCCGCCCGATCACCGCACTCCGGCCCTCCGCACGCAGCTGCGGCTCTCCTCAAACCGAAATTATTTTGTAATGCTATATCAAATCGACTATTTTATGGTAATCATGTGATGTCTACTCAATGGCAAAATGTGTGGTATCCGAATCAGACAAATCACCACATTCGTATAACGCTGGGATGAATCACGGGCTGTTTCACAACACAGCGTAACTGTTCACATTGGTGGTATTATTTTCTGCGCCGAGGCGCCTGGCGCCCCAATATTGTTCTATCCGACCCTTTCAGAGCAGTCGCCGCGTCCCCTCTCCCCGGGACGGTCCCCGTGACCCGGGGTCAGTCCGGGCGGGGGAGGGCCGCGGCCCGTGCCCACCGTCGGCTTCTGCCGCGCACAGAGTACAAACTATCGGACCCGGTCGCCCCCACACCGCGCCTCACACTTCATCTGTATATAGGTGGTCATAGAGGGTACCTGCTGTTACGTGAGCGAGTCCGAGCGTGAGTCCCTGTGAGCGGCCCACTGTGAGAGGAAGCGAGAGAGTCCGTCAGCTCCCAGAGCCAACACTGTGGCCGACGTGCGTGTGTGTGTGTCTGTATGAACCTTTTTATATGGAAGGGAGCGGTTTAGTCCTCTTTATTTTTGTCCAATAAACTGCGTTTGTGCGAGGATGCACCGTGTGTTTGATGGGGGGTGGGGTTCAAACTGCGCTGGTGGGCGGACGAAAATCAAACAATGAGGTACTATAAGGATTAGTCGTGACATTTTTATGCATTAATGCCTAGTTTGCGAGGCATCGTTACAAAAAGTGCGATAAAATACGAAATTCGGAGCGATAGAAGATAGCTTATTTATTGTACACATACTGATGTAAAACGACACAAAGCCACCCACTGATCAAAAGCACAAGCAGTGTGACACGGCAGTCGACATAGATATACTCGTATAAGAACACATTAATACACCTCGTATGGTTCAAGACACTGGTTGACAATAGGTACACATGCTATTTAAAGCCGGTAAAACGTTTCGTTTAAAAATGTAAAGGCCCGAAGTTCGAACAGAAAATTTCATTTTTCTATCATCCTGTAACTAATGATTAAGTTACATGATAATGCAATAATATGACGCTGATGACAAACCAATCCACTTTATGCCGAAAGTATACATCACTGGACGACTTCCTACGTTTTACGGCCCCTCTCCTTGTGCCGCTCCGTCCGGATATAAGCCCAGGCCAAGAAGTCGCGTTTCATATCGTCCAACTGGAAAAATATCGGGTTCATGCTGGCCAGTCGAGCTCTGGACTCCATGTCTTCAGCTCTCTGAAAGCAACAGTGGCATTTGTTTCACATGGTTCACGATGACTGCATGAATTGACCGCATCCAGGAAACGTCCGTTTTCGGCCATCGTAACGGAACTGCTGATCAGAAAAACGCGGTGACATTTCGCCTCCTTGCCATACATAAGTGCATGATTGAATGACGGGTTTCCATCAAGTCGTCATATTTCAATGTCATGTTACCGTTGCTAGCGAAATGCAGAACATTGGTCAACATTGTTCCTGTTGTAGCGGCAAAGGAAGAATGATCAAATGTACGGACCATTGTTCGAGCGAAGGTCATGGTCGGCCTAAACCAACCGTCTATGTTCAAATACTAAACAGTGGTGCTCTCTGCACCGATTGCGACTTTTTCCAAAGTGACAGGCATTGATGGATTGAATCTTGCAAGTCTAGCTGTGGTATCCATGGTATTAGCATAAAAAGCTGGTTCGGGGCTAGGACGTGACATCATTTGGTACCGAATTATGGCCACCAAGGCCATGTCTTTTAGGCCCTGACGCTCGGGAGCTGGCCAATTTTCACAACGGTCATCCAGAGAACGTTTGGCATGGGAACCAACTTCTAGTAGTGGGCAAGTAGAGGTGGCAAACGTCAAACAGGTAGGACTTTCTGTCACCCAAACCAGCCAATGAATAGGCCCCTACACCCCAGGCACCACCCAACCGATGATAGGGAAGGACCCGGGCCCGAAACCAATCTCATGCAGTGATAATTGTGATTTAGAACGATGTCACGTAGTATAATACTCGGATCCGTGCTCTTTGTTACCGGTGATGAGCCATTACGGTGAAAAGTGGCGGCTAATCGTGACTTGATAAACGGCCGGGCCCCAGCCGTCTGAGATAAGTCGCCGCCCGGTTAAATGTCCCGGGGATCCCGCCTTCTGTGGTGGACGGGAGAAAGCTGGCACCCGGTAGCGATGATTTAACACAGCGGGCGGGCGGACAGGCGGCGGTCACAGACCCCTGCTGAGCCCCCCCCCCCCCCCCTCCCTACTCCCCTCCCTCCCCCTGCCCTTCTGGTGACTGTCCCTGCGCCACCGGTTCCGGGCGGCGGGCGGGTCGGACCCGGACTGGCCATGGGCGAGACGGAGGGCTTCTGCAGGTTTGATATACACGTACATACATAGACCAACGGACCTGAACTGTCGGCTGGGATTCTGGGACATTTTCGTCTCTATCAAAGACTTACAGCTCAAGCATTGACCATTTCGCTACTTTTGCGTGAATAACAGTTTGTTACGAATAGACGGTTGTGATTGTGAAGATACGATGACGGTATATTTCAGCCCTACAGTGAACATATTAACTGTCGATTAGCTCTAGTGTCACCCTTTACACTATACCGGTGTGCTCACCTTCCTTATCCCAGCGTTCCTGCGCCGCACCTGATCCAGCCGCTGCTCGGGGGTGAGCGTCTCCTGATCGACCCTCTTCTGGAGCTCCCGACGCCGCTCCTCTCTGTCAGGAGGAACCAGGGGCCGTGAACGCTACTGTTATCCCTGGAGAGTCGTGGGCACGGGTCACACGGCCAGGGTAACAGGCGCATGACATACGCGGATACGGAACTGGTAACAGTAGCTACCGGCTGGGGCTTAACTCCCGTCGACTGCTCTGTTCCTAACCATGAGTCGCACATTCGCCCAAGGTCTGATCTGAAGGGCAATCAGCAGTTTCACTTCGTGGCGTCTTTATACGAAAACACTGGTCATGTTTTACGGGCTGGCCTCGAACCCTTCAAACTCCCAGACGGCGATATAGAATTGTGCAACTACGATACGCAGTTGTTTAACTACGACCGAGCAAGTGTTAATACCAGTGTGACAGCCGGAACCAAATAAGTTTATCGATGCTTAGAAAACGTCTAGAATAAGTTTACAATTTATTCATATGACGTATAAAGCTCCGAAGGCCTCAGCCCTCCTGGATTGCGACTGGGTCGGGTTTATCGTGATGCTACACGATGTTAAAAAGGTCACATGGCATAAGCGACAAACCCAACCATATATGTTGTCTCACAGTTTGGTCAGGCGTCGCTCCACCTCCAGCTGCCGCTCCAGCAGGATCTCCATCCTCCTGGGAGGTCTCCCGCCGGTCATTGGCACGTCAGGACGCCTGACGGGGACGTCAGACATCACTGACGGTAAGCAACGTCAGACTGACGGTAGAGCAGCGTCAGACTGACGGTAGAACGACACCAGAGTGACGGTAGAACGACGTCAAACTGACGGTAGAACGACGTCAGACTGACGTTAGAGCAGCGTCAGACTGACGGTACAGCGGCGTCGGACGAATGGATCATCGACGTCAGACTGACGAGTGACGACCTAGCGGGGTCAGCTTGATGACCCAATGACGTCGGACTGACGTAGAGCCCACTGACGGACGGGTCTGTGGTGCATCTGTGGGGTCACACACGGGACAGGGTGAGGTAGCTACCTGCGGCGGCGGAGAGTTACCGTTAGAGGAGGGGAGCTGGCGCACAAGAGGTATAAAATGGGTCAGTTTCGGGTCCGCAATGTGACGGCCCGCTAGCCATCGGTGCCGGCCGGTAGAGAGCTGCCGTTCCGCCCTGACCGGCGGCCAGCCACGCAGTTGAACATTGCGAAACGCACTGCACCTGCACCTATCGCGGCACGTCGCTGCACTCTGCGGGCGAACGGTGCCAACGGCCAAAACGGTGCCAAGTGACGCGGCGCTAAACGCGCAAAACACTATGATTACAAGGCACTTAGGAGTGCGGCCAAGCGCTTCTGAATAAACAGGGCGCGTGACCTGACTAATGTAAGTACAGCAAGGAGGGTTTCTTGACGTCCAAATGACTGATCGCTTTGCGCAATATACGCTACCGAACTTATGAATACCTACAAGCCCAATGCCCTCAAGTAAATATGACGGGACCCCTCCTTGATGCTATGCAAACCAACAGCTACCCAACGCACCGTCTCTCGGTACCCAACCAACCAACCAACCAACCCACCTTAACCCCTCTGGTAACCAGTCCCACACCACCTGTCACCGACACTCGTATATACCTACTTACCCCACCCGGGTCCGTCTCTGGTCGGTAACTGCGCCGCCGTCCGCTGGGCGGCGCTGCGGTCGCCCTGCTAGCCGATCGATGTATAGATTATCGGAGGCGGCGTTTGCACGTGAGGGAGTCCGGACTCCGGACCGTGAGGGTGTACGGACTCGTGAGTTGTCCAGGCCAGCCTGACGAACTCAGAGTTGGGCTCGGCGACTCGGCACACTACGGACAGACCGCGGCGCTAACAAGTAGACACTTTGGGCTGACCGGTGAACGGTAGGCTGACCGATGAACAGCCGATCGGCGAACATCATACAAACCGCTGAGCAGTAAATTACTGAGTGGCATGGGGCAGATCGAAGAATAGGTATACCGTTGAGTAGTAGGTTAACTACAGGCATGCCACTAAGCAGCAGGCAAACGACTGAACATTACCTACGCTTGTATCGAACTTGTGTTCGCACGAAGCTACATCAGCTAATGCTGTGTTTAACAGGATCGTGACTGCAGGACAGTTCACCGGTCACTAGGGTGTGCCATGCTGGTCCGTTGGCCACAGCCAAACCTGCCGACGGGTGAACACGTCCGTCAAAGGTGTGTAGGTAAACGGTCGGTCGACGTTCAGGGGCCTACCCCGCTAGTTAGTCATCACCGAGGCTCGGTCGGTCTTTCGGTCACGGTAACGCTCGAGTTCGCTCCCATCCATCGGTTGCAGAGGTCAGGTCGGTCGGGCCCTCGGTCAGAGGCTCGGTCGGTGGTCCCGACGATCACAGATGCTCGGTCGGTCGGCCCGTGGGTTACACCGTACCCCTTCGGTCAAGGTAACGCTCGTTGGGGTCCATCCACCGGTTAGAGGCCAAGTCGTTCGGTCCGTCGATCTCACGTATCCCGTCGGTCACGGTGACGGTCGCTGGGCCGTCCGCCGGCGGCCGTCGCGAAATGGCCCGGCAGATGGCTGAGCGGTGCCACCACTCAAGGCCGCCAGGTCGTTAGCAGACGCGATGAAGCGAAACGGCGCCCGACGCCGAACACCCCAACTGCATCCCGGCACGGATTCAAACGACATTCTACGCAGCGACGCAGGCGGTAACCGAAGGTTTGTTGTCAATAGTTAAAACACTATTCTTTAGAATTGTGTTTTTCTATTGAAAAACAAATCTGAGTTCCCTGACAATTTGGCAAAAGCTGCCTGAGATCAGTACAACTTGATGCTCTTGAAAACGGCTGGTCCAAATATTCTGATTTTTTTCAGGATTTCTAGTGGGCCAGGTGATCTACGTTCTGGTATGGGTCTCCCCTCCGCGGACCATCTGGTGCACGTGCCACGTGACTTTAAAAATTCCCGTGTTAAGCCAATGGGGAAAATGAAAAAATGCGTTCCACGGCAGATTGCTCGAAAACGATCCAAACGACCCCCCATTTTCTTACATGCAGATCAACCACCATTCGGTGCACTACCCATGGGTATGTCGCAAAGTGGCCGGAAAAGTCCAGAACCACGTGCCACGTGCCGTTGAAAATGACCCTGCACACCGGAAATTGGGACTTTTGGTCATTTCGGCGCACCCATGATGCATACTATGGCGTGGGTGACCAAACAATGGGTGTCAGCCGGTCGGCAACTGTTTAAGGTGTCGTCCAGTGGGCCAAAGTGGTAGTTTCAAACTTTTGGGATCCACCACTCTGGGGATTCTTTTTGACAATATACTTACGTTTCTTGGCGCAATGTTCATTCCACCCAGCCGGTCGTCAATGCGTTAGATGACCCAAATGACGATTGACCTGAAGGAAGTTGGGGGCGAGGAACACGCACGTGCCATCCGTTTTTTACTCGGGCGCTTTCATCTAGGAGATTTTTGCAGATACGTCAATGCGTTAGATGACCCAAATGACGATTGACCTGAAGGAAGTTGGGGGCGAGGAACACGCACGTGCCATCCGTTTTTTAATCGGGCGCTTTCATCTAGGAGATTTTTGCAGATATCTTTTTGATTTGTGAAAATGACCAGCCTAGCGGTATGCCAGCCGCTGATAAATTATTATCTTGCTGCGGCCGGGCGCTTATTTGCGGTGTTTGCGTTTGGCGGCTGGCGGGCGACTTTTAGTCGTTTTCGGTTAGCAGTTAGCGTCGGTGCGGTGCGGGCGGTTTTATTTTTTTCGGCGTTTCGGCGTTTTTTTCTGTGTGGTTTGCGGCGGTCGGGTGATTTTTTGCCGTTTGCGTTGGCTTTTCGGGCGTGCGTTTTACACGTTTTGCGGTGTTTACGTTTTGCGGCGGGCGGGCGTTTGTTTATTTTTTGCGACGTTTGCGTTGGCGTTTCGGGCGTGTGTTTTGCGCGTTTTGCGGTGTTTGCGTTTTCCGGCGGGCGGGCGTTTTTCACAATTCAAAGTCCAAACCTTCGGGCCACAGCGCTCCTCGAAAAGCGCTGCCCTCGAGTATCGGTTGGAATCACATACTAGCAGACCGAATTAAATACCTCACGAGCAGCTTAGGGTGTGTGTGCGAGCCGTACGCCCTTTCAGACCGTGATGCAACCTGCCTCTACTACAGGTCAACTACCAACGCGCTAATCAGCTCGGTCCTTTACAGCCCTGGATGAAAATATGATTAACCTAAGGTGGCAGTCGCAAATATTGCCGCAGACACGCCGCAGATAGCCAGTTTCGAACAAGCAGCGAGTGAGCACGCGCATATCCCACCATCCCAAAACAAATCGAAGCTTGATTACAAAGATATATTGGTTAAAGTGACATAAAAACCGGTCAAAGAAATCCAGAATCTACGTGCTTTGTACGTTCCAAGAATTCTGGTGATGCATATCCCAATAGAATCGTGTCGAGCTATATGCACAGTGCGACACCACGCTAAAACAGACGTCACCGCGCCGATCGCCTCGGCGCAACGTAAACCAACAAGCCGCGTGGATAAAATCGACAGCGGAGAGATACAGCGAGGGAGAAAAAGCAGTAGCGCCGGCACGCGCCCACACTCGGTCACACGCCCCCACCACGGCGGCCGGTGGTGTACAGGGCCACGGCGAGCCACCCGCTGGTGACCGGACACCGCGCTCGGCCGCCGCGACCACACACAGACGGCACTGGACGGTCCGCCGCCGGGCCGTCCTCAACAAACGCACAGACAGCCGCGCCAGGAATGACTTTATACAATGAACGCCGACAGACGCGGCGCGCTCTCCACACTCACGTCACCCACTGATGCCACCGGTGTGATGTCATTCACGTCAGTCTCTGGCAGTCACATCACTGCCGCCCCACGGCGCGGCGCTCAGGCCGACAGCGGGTCGGCTACGGTCGGCTGCTCGGGGTGCCCGTTGGCTGAGATCAGGGCGGCCTTCCCGGCGAGCTGATCGGACTCGGCGACCGACTGGCCGTTATCAGCCGCCGGTACCTCCATCTCCTCGTCACTGCTCTCCTCGTGGACAATGGGCACGCCCTTACGGAACTGACGGCGCGTTACCTCACCGTCCTTCATCTCCAGCTCGATGACTTCCTCGCCGTCCTCCTCCTCAGCCGGCGGGTCGCCGCTACCCGCCACGAAATTGGCGATCGCCTCCAGCGTCTCCGCGTCGGCGTCGGCGGCCGGCTGCGAGCGTCGCTGCCGACGAGCCTGGTCGCGCTGGTGGGCGCGCAGCGCGGCGCGTCCGTGCATCCGCAGGTGGCGCTGCAGCCGTTCCTCGTCTCCGCACTGGGCGCGGCACACGTGACACTGGCCGGGCTCCAGGTCACGGGTCAGCTGCTCCCACTGCTGGATCTCGCGCTGCTGTTCAGAGGCGGCCACCTCTGGCGGAGGCTCACGCAGACGGTGCACCAGAAGTAGATGTTTCAGCAGCGACGGTTTGGTCGAGTAGCACTGGCCACACTCGGGACACTGGTGCTGGCTGCCCTGCCGGTGCAGTGCCACGTGAGCCACGAAGTCGGCGCGCACGTCCGTCTGTAAACCGCAGCAGACGCACCGGTAGCCGGCCTGCTGCTGCTGTGGCGCCGCCGGCTGCTCCTCGATCGGCGAGCGCGACCGTTTGACGCGACTGAGGCGCGGCGGGCCGTCCTCGCCGGCCGGCCGCGGCCGCTTGGTGCCGCCCTTGCCGCCGCGTCCGCCGTTGCGCCGCCGCCGGCCCTCAGAGGCATCCTCGCTCACCGAGGAATTCTCGCTGTCCAGGTCGTGCAGGCTGGTGATACCCGGCAGCGGCCCGGCCACCCGACGGATCAGCGCCTTCTTACTGGCCATCTGACTCAGCGGAACATCATCATCGTCATCGTCATCCATGGCCGGTGCGTCGCCGGCCGCCGGCGGCTGCGGGGGCTTGGGCCGCGCCGGTCGGCCCTGCGCGGCGCCGCGGTGCTTGGCGAAGTTGTGTCGGAGCAGGTCACTCAGCGCAGCGAACTGCAGCTGACAGTAGGGACATGTGAAGTCGCGCAGGTCGTGCTCCGTCTCCAGATGTAGCTGTAACGCGTCACGACTGCCCAGTTTGGCATAACAGAGGCCGCACCGATCGCTGCCAATCTCAGCGGCATGCTCAGCGATATGATTCTTGAGCAGCTCCTGCGACTCAAAGGCAGAAGTGCAGAGCAGGCAGAGCGGCACACCCTCCTGGATATGGGCACGTAGGTGCTCCGTGTGCGCGGCCTTACGACGGAACTCGGCCTGGCATACCGGGCACCGGTGCATCACCACCGGCTTACGGCCCGGCTCTTGCTTTATCTTAGGCAACGGCACCGGCAGCGCGTCGGCAGGGCGCGACACTGCCTGCTTGGTGGCGGTCACCGGGGCCTGGACCGGCGCCACCGGCGCTGGCGGCGGCGGCGGCGGGGGCGGCGGCGTGGGCGCCGGCGGCGGCGAGGGCGCCATCGACGAATACTCGTGCTGCGATTCCAACGCAGCAATCTGAAACTCTGGGTGTTTCTGGGCGAGATGGTCCGAGAGTAGCTCTTTGCGCCCGTAGTCGACGCCACACTCAGGACACCTGAACACGAAGCGAATCTGCTCGAGCACGCGATCACCGTGCTTCTTGGAGGCCAGGTGATCACGCAGCGTCTTCGGATGGTTGAAGGTGGCGGCACAGAACGGACACTTGAGAATGGGCATGTAGGGCGTATCGCCGTGCATAGTCTCACCATTGTGCTTCACGTTGACGTGGCTGTTGAAGCCGTTGATGGACTCAAAAGCCAGCGGACACTTGCGACACTTGTAGAGTTTCTGGACGTGCGTCTGCAGCATGTGCAGCTTGACGTCACCCACCTCGATCAGGCAGACGGAGCAGCAGATTTTGAGGTCGCGGGTCAGGTGCAGGCAGCCGGCTACTACATGACGCCGGTAGTCATCGTACGAGCCCAACACCTTGAAACCGCACTCGGGGCACACGTAAGGGTAGGGGAACAGGTTGGGCTTGTGCAGGCCGTGGTGCGCCAGCAGAGCACACTCGGACGGGCAGGGCTGAGCGCACTCGGGACAGCGCGGGGGTACGGCCTCCAGGGCCTCCGAGCTGGACGGGCAGATGTGCGCCCGTAGGGTGTCCGTGTTGCATAGCGTGTTGCACATAGGGCAGCTGATGTCTTGGGGCCTGCCGGAGGACACACAGAGATCGAGCGCGTGTCAGGTGGAGCCACGGAGAGCTCAAACTCAGGTATCAGCATTGGCAGTGGTTGCACACCCATGTGGCTGACCGAGAGCTGGGCACTGTGGTATATTGAGCTCTGCTGTTACTTCCGGTTCAATACTCGCATGAAAAAGGACATATACATCATTGTCCTTCAAATAGCTTTATCACCATACATTCTCGATAATAACTGCTCATGATATCCACGTGAAAAGCCACGGTGTCTTTATGAAGCCTCACCAACCAAGCCTTCTGTGCACAACTCAGCCCCGTCCCCCTCCGGCCTCCACCCTAACCGCTCCTTACTTTCGCTCTGGCTCAGCGTGCACCATCTGCACTAGCCGCGGCGGCCCGGTGATGAGGCGGGCGCCGAGCGACGGCAGCACGCGAGTCGGAGAGCTCAGCTCGGCGGCGCTCAGCGCCGAGATATCCACCGACTCGGGGTCCAGTGACGACGCTTCCAGACCGTGACTGTCCAGGTGCTCTGTGAGTGGCACACAAACAGGCGTCATCGTTAGAGTCATGTCATCGGTACGGCATGTCAACACAACCAGCCGGGTTTCAGGTCCGGATACTCAAATGGAGTTGAGTGATTCAGTTATTGTTTATTAGGGCTTTAAGGCGCGTCGACTACGGTGGTCATTTTGCAGTTGAGGATTCAACGTAGTTCTGAATGTCCTTGGAATCAACACACATGCGATGATGGTTTTAACGACATAGCTGTCCCAGAGCGTCGGTTAATATGCTGTCGGCGCGGAATAAATGACAACCCGTAGAGCACCGGTACCCGCCACTCACCGATAAATCGACACTTGTTGTAGAAGATGCACGTTTTGTCAGTTATTTTACACTTGAAGGCGATCTCCATGGTGCGTCGGTTCTTGTGTAGTGCCAGACTGGAGGGCAGCACGAACCTGCGGCACGGCAGACCAATACATTTATAGGGACTATTGCAAACACCACAGAACATAACACATCAATCCTAAACCAAACCCGGTGCCAATAACGGCGTTCACAGCCCACAGGCAATGCGTTTATCATTTCCAGACAGCTGGCCCGCATTTTTCACCAGCAGCCGAAATAAAGCAGCTGCTGCCGGCAACGAGCCACTTTTGATAAAACTCCTCGGTCGGCCACAGCCGGCACGTTTACAGAGCCACCAATGAGGGGGCGCTGCCGAGTCGCCCGCTAGCGCCCGGCCTAAGTCCCGTCAGTCACACAGCATCGAATCCACCATTCAACGGCTTACACGTTAGCCTTATAAAGTCGTTCTTTTTTAGGGAAAGGGAACCAAAAAGCGACAGCCACTTGTGTTAAACGTAAGTTATGAGCCCATGAATCATTATGAATCTTTAAAAGCGGCATGATCCGCTTGCCGCAATTTTCACCACCGCGAATATGTTATTCGCCCCGTGTTACAAATTAGCGTCCTCAATGACAAAAAACGCTTGAATCCCACATAAATGTTTAAACCCCATACAAAACCCTATCAGCAGCTATCTGCCCTTCCTCGCCATCCGGTGAAATACCAGTACCAGGGACAGGTACCGCTCTTAATAACAAAACTAAATTTTACGGTCGAAAGCAGATAGAAAACAGCTATATCAGCCATACAAATACTTCTTATGGGCCATCGCCAGCCACAGAGTCAGCAATTTCCGATCTAAGCCGGCGGATTTCGTCAACCCCCACCTGTAAACCTTCGCACAGGCGGCTTAGGAGCAGGGCATTTCGGCAATCCCCACCTGTAAACCTTCGCACAGGCGGCTTAGGAGCAGGGCTGCACTCTGCAGCCGATGGATTTTCGGCGACTCCGACTCCGGCTTCCAAAAATCGACTCCGACTCCGACTCTCACTCCAGCTCCGACTCCGGACATCTCTCTTAAACTCCACGTCACGATAGTAAATATAGTCGGTTTAGCTTTTGCCTCGCTTGAAATTCGCACATTTCTCCGCCTTACACAGCAATTAATTTATACTTCATAATTTAACATCCTCATCTAAAAACAGGTTCTGGCGCAGCCACCGTTTTATGCTTCTCACGCTCAAAACACTCATCCAGACTAAAAGCACGACCTAGCTTCGAAAAAAGCATAGATAACGAAAGTAAGATTCTCCAACAAACAGGCCGAACCGAATACGACTTTAAGCCATGCAATGTCGACTCTAATAAGCGGAGTTGGTAATAATTTGGCGATTCCCACTCCGACTCCGGGCAAAACTATCAACACCTACCGACTCTGACTCCTAAGCCTTGCTCAGGATTAGGATTGACTCACCGTTCGCCGCACTGTTCGCACATAAAGCCCTCTCGCGGCAGCGGCAGCTGCAGCTTGTTGGGCAGCCGGGCGATGTCCGTAGTGGAGCGCCGGCCGGCCAGCACCGCATTCAGCATCTCGGTGCGGTTCAGCGGGATCACCGGCACCGGCTCGGCCGGCGGCGGGGGCGGCGGCGGCTCCTCAGAGTCCGCCATAGTGAGGACGGCGGGGTCCGGCGGGCTGACCTGGTCGGGCGGCAGTACCGAGATGGCGGCCGGCTCCGTCACCGGCTCCGCCACCTCCACCTGAGGCGCCGGGTCCTCGGCAGCGGGCGGCGCCGGGTCCTCGGCAGCGGGCGGCGCCGGCTGCTCATCGGCCACCTGCTCCACTTTACCGGGCTGGGTCTCGGTGGCCGGCTGGGCTGCGCTGTCAGCTGGGGGATCCTGCTCCATAGGAGTAGCGGTGGCCTCCTGATTAGGGGCAGGAGCTGGGTTCTGGGCTGTGGTAGACTCAGGCTCAGCTGCAGCCTCTTCAGTCAGGTTGGCTGCCTGAGCTGAAGAGCCGATCTCCTGCATTAGCAAAAGGAGGACCAAAACATAAGCATCAGTGATCTTTATGGCACTAATAATTAGGACAACTGACAAGTGTCATAAGGAAGGACAGACACTCTGCCATGCGAAGAAAAAATGTTAAGTTACCTGGGCCAAAACATGTCACATATGGTTCTTCCTTTGCATGGCAGCACTGTCGACTCATGAAGACACATTTACTCCATATTACCAAGCCAGAAGCCATGCAACTTGCAAGTTGTCAGTAATCCAGTATATGCCACTGCTGCCTCAGCCCATTCATCTATTCACCTCATTCTTACTACCAAATGTCAGTTCATGAGCTTCAAATGTATATGCAAGAAGGGAATGAGACATGATAAGAACTAGAAATCTACAAGTCCCAAACTAGTCATGTTACCAGGGAGGTTAGTAAGTGTACTGTTGGCTGTCAGAGCCATACCTGGGAAGAAGCAGGGCCACTCTCATCTCCACCTTCAGCTGGTTCTACTGCCATCTTTTCTGGAGATGACATCACCTGAAAAATGCAGACAGAAGAAATTACAAAACAAATTGAATGAAGTACGCTGGTCATCACTCAGCAGAGCCAAATTTGAGCCACTTCAGGTTCAGGCTTGAGAGTTCAGAGATCATGTGGGAATGCATGTTGATTCAGTGGCCAGTTGCATCCTTTTGCATTGACACAACCTGTTCAGCTTTCACTACTTGTGATAAGTTGGATTGGAAATCAACAATCAAAGCCAGGTCACAATCAGTCAGTCGTGCAACTAGCAGTTAACAATTTGTAGCATATCCAAAAACTTAGCACCAAGAGTTTGCACCCACTTACACAGAGGAACTGTATGAATTTAATTCATAAAGCTAGCTGAAAGTAAAAAAAATCCTAACTAGCATCAAGTTACACCAAAAAGTTCATACAACAAGTTGATAAGTAAGGGCAATAAAAAGGAATGACTATCAAGTAGGCAACATCAATAAAGGTCACAAAACTACTCTTTGAAGATTGCATTGGTTAAAAAAATAATCCCAAGACATCCAGAATATGTACATAAGTATCAGTGGGTATGTATTTGATAATTTAATTCATAATTCATCTCGTTTTAGCGCTTCGTACAGTGCAACGGCCAACGCTAACGCTGACGCCGCGTGAGAATCAAACAGCGCCATTTTGGCCGCAGACGCCGCCGTTGAACGCCGCCACGCGACGACGCACGCGATTTATTGACATCCCTGTCCTGTGATAGAACCGATGGAACTATGAAAATCACCACTTGTAATCGCTTTATGTGAGAAGTACATGGGCCAACAAAAACAGCCAGTCTCAACAGTTCGTTCCACGGACAAGTCGGCTGGGAATCGCGAAGGGCGACCGCCATACTAAAGGCAAGTTCTCCCATTCTCATGGATAAAAAGGCATAACTCACTGGTCTGCTTTAAATACTGATTATGAAAGAAGATATGTTATGCTTACCTTCTCTAAATAGTCAATCCACGGAACAGCAAACAAGCCTTCCAAAGATCCCCAAAGCGTCTTCGGCACACCACCGCCACCTAGCAGCGTAAAATTTCGTTTTCCACGTCTCTGCGATATCTTCGGGAAATGCTGCTAGGTGGCAGCACTTGCCTGGAACATTTCAGCTTGTAGTGACATCTCTTGGGAAGAACAGAAACTAGGCTGGGGAAGTCAGCTGACACCGTGAAGCTGTTGCTGATTGCTGATTGGCTACATTCTGACTCACAACTCCGAGTGACACGGAGTGAGAACAGTCATATGCTTTTCGGCTCCGCTTCCGCGATCTTTCCCTAGAGATCTTTCTTGAATCTTTCATCTTTCCACTCCGCTCCGCCCCCTCTCCGTTCGCGGTGGCGCTATAGAGGGAGAATGGATCATTAGAGGCAGGGGGCGTGTTTTTATTGACATTGAGTATACTAAGGAAGGGTGTGAAGTGTGAACTGTGAAGAAGCTGAGACTTCAAGTTCGGTTTGTGAGCACAGAACAGGTCAAGGTAGGTAAATAGCAAAATATATTTTTTTTCCTGGGCCGATGTGACATCAACGTGTCGGTGCTGGGTGCAGGGCGTGCGGGGAACATTTTTTTTTGGCATTGGCTGTGCTTCACTTTACCTGACACAGACTGAGACTGAAACAGCTTTGGGTAGGTATTAGTTCATGTGACAGTAATAAACTAGTGATCTGCTCTAGGTATGTAAATACCATTTGTCTAGATCTAGTGGTCACCTTTGAAGTGTATTTTTCCAAATGTTAAGTCATCCACTGACCACTTCCTCTCTCTGCCAACAGACAATACCATGGAGGATGCCATCTCCCGTGGCAGCTGTGATGACGTCTACCAGCCATGTGAGATGTCGTACAAGCCCGGCCTGGGCTACAGCCGCTATTCGGCTGCCCTGCGACAGCTCATCCCAGTCAGGAAGACCAAGGTGTAAGTACCTAACCAGGGCTGCAGATGGGGAATGACAGCACTTTTGAGCTGAAATCAGAGTACTGGGGCTTGCATTGTCTGCATTAGGTAGTAACTTTTGTAATCCATTATTCCCGTGTCTATCTGGTGGCTAACAAAGTTGCTGCCAAACTGGAAGATGGACAGGGACTGGATGATGTTTTTCATCCCCAGTATGGCAGCCCAGAGCCACAGAATTGACGGCAATTGGTGGCATTCGAAAGGTGATCCGAGACCATTCTGAGTAAATGCTGATCATAGCTGATGGACGGTCACAAATAGTAAAGGAACAATTTGTGCTATTTGCATGTCAGGTCATAGATCATGTGATTATCACCAGACGTAGTCGATGGTTAACTTTCCTGGTTTGTAGACGTTATTATAAATTGGATCCTGAGTCGACCATCTACATCGCAGAAAAAAGACATTTGATAGCTACTAACAGGGGCAGATCCAGGAAAACTCCAAGGGGAGGGTCATGAATCGAAGTGGTGCCCCTACCTATACCCAAAATTAAAAACTCAACGGATTTCGTCCACTTCATTTTGGTGGTGCCCCCATTTTCAGTTTTTATTTTTTTTTTTATTTTTAGTCAGTATCTTACCTCTTAGCCACAACCACATTTACCAATTGTAAGCAAGTATATATGAATGTGCTATGTGTATATATGTTGTGGACGCTGAGTAATGAGTACTTACCAGGAACGTTATCAGGTAAGCAAATCGTTGTCAGTCCGACGAACTTGACCCTGGCGTCTAAAGGGTCTGTCCTTGACACTTCAGGCTTGTCAGGGGCACCAAAGTCCTTCCAGGGACACCACAAACCTGTCAGGGGCACCTACGGCCTTGTAGGGGCGCCACAGGCCCGCCAGGGGCACCACAGGCCTGCCAGGAAGCAGGGGCACCACAGGTCTAGCAAGTATACACGACAGGCCTGTCAGGGGCACAACGGGCCTGTTGGGCCCATGAGCACCCGTAGGGGCAGGGGCACCACAGTCCTTCCAGGGGCACCGCAGGCCTGTGAGGGGCACCAGCGGCCTAGCAGGGGCACCAGTCAACACAGGCCTGCCAGGGGCACCACAGACCTGCCAGGGGCACCAGAGGCCCGCCAGGAGCACCACCGACCTCGCAGGGGTAACTTGGGCCTGTCAGGGCCCAGGGGCACCACGGGCCTGTCGAGAGGCACTTCAGGCTTTTCAGGGGCACCATAGTCCTCTCAGGGCGCAGGGGTAGCAGGGGCACCAGAGGCCTGCCAGGGGCGCTACAGGCCTAGCAAGGGCACCACTGGTCTATCAGGGGCACCACGAGCCTGTCATAGCCAGGCATCTCAGGCTTGTCAAGGCCCAGGGGCACCACAGGTCTGTGAGGGGCACCAGCGACCTAGCAGGGGCACCAGTCAACACAGGTCTGCCAGGGGCGCCACAGACCTGCCAGGGGCACCACAGACCTGCCAGGGGCACCAGAGGCCTGCCAGGGGCACCACCGGCCTCGCAGGGGCACCTTGGGCCTGTCAGGGGCACGACGGGCCTGCCGAGGGGCACTACAGACTTTTCAGGGGCACCAGTCCTCTCCGGGCGCAGGGGCACCAGAGGCCTGCCAGGGGCACCAGCGGCCTAGCAAGGGCACCAGAGGCCTGCCAGGGGCACCAGCGGCCTAGCAAGGGCACCAGAGGCCTGTCAGGGGCACCACAGGCCAAACAAGGGCACCACGGGCCTGTCAGGGGCACCTCAGGCTTGTCAGGGCCCAGGGACACCACAGTCCTTCCAAGGGCACCGCAAGCCTGTCAGGGGCACCAGAGGCCTGCCAGGGGCACCACAGGCCTAGCAAGGGCATCTCTGGCCTGTCAGGGGCACCTCAGGCTTGTCAGGGCCCAGGGGCACCACAGTCCTTCCAGGGGCATTACAAGCCTGTCAGGGGCACCAGAGGCCTAGCAAGGGCACCACAGGCCTGCCATGGACACCACAGGCCTGCCAGGGGCACCACCGGCCTTGCAGGGGCGCCTCAGGCCTATCAGGGGCACCACGTGCCTGCCGGGGACACTTCAGGCTTGTCAGGGGCGTTACAGTCCTGTCAGGGCCCAGGGGCACCAGGCCCGTGGTGTCCCTGCTAGGCCTGTGGTGCCCCTGGCGGTCCTGTGGTGCCCCTGTCAGGACTGTGATACCCCTGATAGGCCGGTGGTGCCCCTGGAAGGTCTTTGGGCCCCCGGGCCTCAAGGGGGGGGGGGCCATGACCCATGTGACCCCCCCCCCCTTGGATCCGCCCCTGGCTACTAAAACAGTTCTGCACTCAGTATAGTCAGATAAAATGCGACCTCGATTTAACGATCATTGTGTCCCCCTCATCGAGGCGCATCGAAGGATGTAAAATGCATTTTGAGCCTTTTGAAGGCGTGTCCTTAGAATACGATGATCACCTGACCAAATAAGGTCATATTTCGTATCGTTTGTTCCGTCTGCCGCGACACGAGAGTGATGCTTCAGCGAGCGAGTTTCGCATTACAGCGAATCATTTTCACCATGTCAGCTGAAGCGACAACAATTGCAATGATAAATGAGCATTGAAACAAAGCAAAAATTTAAACGACGATTAATGCTGAAGCATAGCCCTTGCTCTCGTCGATAGTCGTTATATTCGATAATAGATAAAACGACGACCGGCATGAAGAGAATAAGGTGAGCGAACACTCGCTCAATGTTCGCTCACCTTAGCCGTGCGCAAGAGCTTATCCGTATTGTTGAGAGGAATACATCGGAAATGTTTTTTTATGGCTTACGCTTGCCTCTGCAACAATTCGCTTCCGAATAATGGGTTGCTACGTTTTCGCGACTTCACGTTACCCATAATACGTCACATCACCTTCGGCACATATTAAAATTCGGGGTCATGGGTGCAATAATCATGTGCATTATCTTAAAGGTGTCACACTTTTACAAGTATTTATAATATCTATCCTACCAAAGAGGACATAAGTATGTGCAGTTTCATTTTCTCTCTTCGAATTATGGCTAGGAGGTCACAAATATTGTCTGACCGTATAGATCGCATGTCGACCGCATGTCGACATTTGACTATGTAACGCTACTACAAGCTGCAAATTTCAAATAAGTTGTTTTCCGGTGCAGCCGAAATAAACGTTTACATGCTTCGAAGGTCACTTACCATGACCTGATGACCCGATCTTAGGTGACCTGTGGCTAAACTTTTTCGATGCATTTGCTAGATGAAGCTGTTGCCTGTTATCGAATCGCATTTCCGAAAGGGACCAAAAAGCGTGTGCCAATTATGACCTATACGAGACAAACTTTACATGACAAACTCGTACTTGACAACTTTTCGTGACCTTTTGTGACTTAGTACTCTGACTTAGCTTGGATTTTGAGCATGCGAAAAACAGGCTCGGTATCTGCAGGGTATCTTTACCATACATTGCCAATGGTGTATGAAAATTGAGTTCGATTAAACTTGTTACAGGATTATGCCAGACTCATTAATGACGTTGCTATTGGGTGGGACGATATGCTCGACTTTGGTCCATCTTAATGGTGTATGCGTTACAGTGGTCTGCTCTCCTAACTTAGGAGACAAAAGTGCTCCATCTCTATTCTTTTTAAAAATGGCTCGTCCCCGATGACTTGATCGCGCATTGCATGGTCTTCCGGCGTTTCCTGCTTGTAACTTGTTTCATTGTCAGTCATTCCTTGGCGCATTTATACCTGCCTTTGTTCCCGCTCCGCTCGTTCTATTTCTTTCAGGAGCACGCGACGTGATTCACACCGCGTGCTCGGCATACCTACGGCTTTACGTAAAAATCCC